TCAGCTCCAATTTTGAAAGCCTCTTCAGTCCACGTAAGTATAATATTCCTGTTGAATTTCAATCCCTGGTGTGTTTTCAAAGTTTTGGAATTATGAATATCATAAACAAGTCTTGGTATTAAATTTTTACCCATTAAAATTGAATACTACTATGATTTGTTTCCGGGATGTACTATAGATTCTTGATTTGTGTAGTTGCCCAATTTACTCTATTTATATATGCTCTTTCATATGGTTTAAGACTTAATTCCAATTTGTATGACGTCATTTCTTTATTAGTTGCCCAATTTACTCCATTTTTGTCTTGTTAACAGAAAAAAGTGCTTACCAGCACTTGTTTACCAAACACTTCAATTGCTTTTTTTAAGCTTCAACACTTTTATCCAAACAGGTAACTGCTTATTTATAAAACAAGTTCCAACACTTAAAAGCTGCAAAGCTACTTTTTTCCGGCTAATCCAAACGGGCTCTAAGTCGTATTTTAGCTTTGTTTGTTATCCATTATGGACCTGACTCCTTAAATGAGTGTGTTAAGTTCATGCATGTAGTAAGGGTGTTATACATGACTTATCCTAAAAGACAAACGATGTTAGATCCCAAATCCTTGCTATTTGATCTTTATGGAAGCCAAAGCAGCTCTAATTTAACTTCTAATATTTCTATCAAATTAAGGGTTCAGTACCTCGCCGATTTCATTTGTTTGGTTATGGTGGTGATGAAGACAATGGGATCTACTTCTTTGATGACGGGAGTGACAGTGATTATGGTGGTAGTAGTGACAATGAGGATGAAGATGATAGTAATATGGAAGAAGATGAAGATGATTTCTTCGATGATATGGATGATGACGACAACAATGATGACACTGATGATGATGATGGGTTTGAGGATTTAGATATCCACGAGTATAGAAATCCTGATGAGTTTTTTGACACTGTAGGGGACTCTGATTTTGACAATTCCTCTGATAATGACCAAGATGCTCCTAGCAGTTCACACTATGACAATGATGACTTGAATGACAATGACACTGATGAATGATGATGTTGCAACAGTAACAGGGATTATGTTAGTTCTCGTGAAGATGCTAATGCCGCTTACATGTGCTGATAATTGTGCACTTTCTGTTTCCAGCGAAGACCTAAAGCAAGGGGCTGGATACATCGCATGGCTTCTCCAGAGGACCTAATGTTGCAATTATTTTCACTGCAAAGGCAAAGAACAAACCCGGAGAGCAGTGAAGACAATTCAGAGGTTGGAAGAGAGCTTCTGCAACTCATTTTGACATTCGATGCAAACAGTGATAATTCTTCTGATGATGGTGAAGATACTACGAGCGCTGAAGACTGTTTTTGACTCAGTTATTTGGTTGCAACCTCTATTTTCTACATTTTTAGGAAGTGTACATAAGATACTGAATAAATCAAAATCTTTTAACATGAATTTGTTATTTCTTTGCAAGATTTCTTTTTAATTGAGCCGAAACCTCCTGATGTCTATTCTCCTTGGATTGTCTCCTTTGGATTGTGCTTTTGTTCTGCTTCTCGTTGTCTGGCACGGTAGAGTACTTGCAAACAAGTTTTAATGCAGCCTATTCCTTTCAACAGCTCCTGTATAGTTTCATTGGAGATCCCTGTTTTTAACTTCTTTATTTTTAATTTTTGTTTTCGGATTGAAGGGATTTGATCCCTTTTAGGTCTATCTTTTTTATTTTTTTGGGGGGGTGGGGGTGGACATCTTTTCTGTTCTTATAAAAAATGATGCCACGTGCTCTTTTCTCAGGTCTATAATTGCTCTTAAAAAAGATGATGCACGATACTCTTGCTTTTTCTCAATTTAGATGTCTCGTTTCTTTTGCAAACGATATGAAGGTGAAAGTACGAATTTTATTGTGTTTAATTTAAATATTAGGTTATTTCTTCCTATTTGTTTATGTCTTGGTGAGCAAAATTATTCAATCGAGGTGTGTACAAGCTGACTCGGACAGTCACAATCATTTTAAAAAAAAGTCCCACTCGTAACCCACTTATCTTAGGTATAATCCTACAAGTGTTTCTACGGATCAAGAAATAGAGAGGAGCTTTGTTGCCATCCTTAGTCCATTCATCAATCGAGATAACATTTTAACCATTTATATCTTCATCAATGTTTTCCCTAACTTGCTCCTTTCATAAGATTTCAAAAGAATGAAAAAGGAAAAGAATCAAGCTAATCAACGTATAACTTTTGGCGTTGTCATTTATTAATGTTTTCCCTGTTTAGAAGATTTGATTAGAAAGATATAAGCCGATCAGAAAGAATTTAATTAGAATATATGCCCTATATAAATGCTAGGACTTAAGCACATAATGTGCGAGTAATTAAGTTTCAGACATGGGAAATTTCCTCCATGTTCTAGCCATGACACTGTTACTTTTCCTATTTTCCAATATCACAGTTTTAACAAGTGAAAACATTCATCTTTCCCTTAATTACACATCCATTTTGCAAGCCAGAAAAAATTTCATGGCTCTTGATATCTCCAACCTTTCTTATCATTCAACATCCTCTTACAGTTTTCCCCTTTACCATCGCGATGTATTCGAAAAATCAGAGTTCAAGGATTATGACTCATTACTCGATGCTCGTTTTGCTCAAGAAATGTTATTTTCTATGCCTGAATCTGAATACTCATCTGAAAATTCTACAGCAGCCTATTATGCTCGTGGTTTAATTGTGAGTCCCTTTTGGATTGGCAGTGAATTACAACGTGAACTTTTGGTTATAGACACTGGAAGTCGTCACGTTTGGTGGCAATGTGGTCCATGTGAAGCAAATAAATGTTATGAACAAAGGAGAAATTTATTATATGATTCAACACTCTCCAAAACTTTCCAACAAATTAATTGTGTCACTGACACTTCAAGTTGTTTCCAAGGGCAGAGAATTTCTTGCTCTAGACGAGAACAAAAATGTATTTATGAAACAATATACGGCGATGGTTCAGTCTCCACTGGATTTATGGCTTATGAAATGATAACATTTACTTCAATCCAAGATTCAGCAAAAATAATATTTGGTTGTGGGAAAGATCAAATGAGTGGGGTTAAGAAATTCCCAAGATTAATCAGTGGAATTGCTGGTCTTGGTGCTGGTCTATATACTAATGGATTTGAGAAATATTCATTACAGTCACAACTTGGTGCTACATTATTCTCTTTTTGCATTCCTAGTTCTACCTCAGGAAAGCCATCTACACTCAACTTTCACAAAACCCCATGGAAAACTGGTGAGTTATTCATTTCACGTACTATTTTTTTTTGTTGCTATTAAAGCAATCATAGGCGGAGTTAGAATAATCTAATAAAGACAACTTACTAGGTTTTGGATATTATTTATATATATTAAGTGATTTTTTAATTCAAATATAGAGTTTTCTGATATTAAAGCAAGTTTATAAAGTCACTAAAGTTTATCCATTACAGCAGTAGATTCATCTTAATTTTGAGTAGATTTTGTCTTAAACCTCTCCATAATAGCCTCATTTGTTCTGAATTTTTTTGGTTGTTATAACGAAGTGTCATTATATAGAATATATATTATAACATAACATGAAAATTGATTCCATAAAAAGCTTGGCTTTTATAGTAAATTGTTGTTATTCTGAATGTAGTAGGTAAAATTTAATTGTGACTTTAATGATATAGTAGATAAATTTTTTTTTCAAAAATAAAATTTACTGACCGTATGTGAAATTAATTTGACAACAGGAATAAGGACAACCCTGATGAGGAGCAACATGTTTCCTTCATTTTACTACTTACGAAACTTGTCGAAAATTACGATTAACGATAGGGAAGTTCCTATTGATCCTGCACATTGGAATTTGGGTGCAGATAAAAATGGTGGTATGTTTGTAGATACAGGAACCACTATTTCACAATTTTCTGCTGATGTTTATGTCCAATTTAGGTATATATTTAGGTCTGAAGTTAAAGGTATGATTTTGGATGCAAATCCACCAGATCCATTTGATACTTGCTATTTGGCAGGTAATAATGTTAATTGGGCCAATTTTCCAGTTGTTAGGTTTTATTTTAAAAACAATGTAATACCTTTTGAAGCAAGACAACAACAAGTGATGATACTGTATCGGAGAAAATATTGCATGGGTTTTCGTAGTTCGGGTCATAATTGGTCCATAATAGGTGCCAACGTATTACAGACTTTTGGGTTGACTTTTGATCTTGATACATGGTGGTTGACATTTTCCCCAGATGCTTGTGAATGAAAAATGTAAAAGCTAAGGTTGTTATATATA